GCTTGTCTCCTTATGGCTAGAATAGGGCTCCTCATTGCAGCCCTTCTTCTTGCCCTTTCTCATGAAAATTGCAGTGCCAAAGCAAGCCATCAATGTCCAGCTTCTTCTTGCGGCAATATTCTGAATATTTATCATCCTTTCTATTCTTGCACCGATCCACCAAAATGTAGAGACCCAAAGTATAAGTATAATCTATTCTTGATGTGAACCCCAAAGAGCGCAATGAGAACAAAGAGATTCAAAACCCCAAGGAAAGCCAAATAAGATTTATAGAAGACAAACTTTGATCCGTTATTTATATTGAAACAAGAACCAAAGATATAAAGGAATTTTGACACCACACTCAAAAACGATTAAGAACAAGAGTAATAAATCAAATTAGAATGCCATAAAAATAATCTTGATAAATTTTGTAAAGTTCAGAAATAAACCGAGAGAAAAATTTAGAAAAATTTCTCAAATAATCTCATATTCAATTAACCATCTCCAATTATGGTTACAAGCCTTCAAATAACTAAATTAGTCCAACGAAGAATAAGAAACTAGATTCTATGCAAAAATCCAATTAAAAGTAGAATTGGATGTACACTACTTCTAAAAATGTTTGAATTTGTGTTATTCCTAATAAGACATGAATTAGACTTTCAATTAAAAACAATTTTTAGCCCAAATAACTCAAAAAAACACAAATCTAAGTAAAAATAACATAAAAATCATTCAAAATAACTTAAAATAATGCAAAACATTAGTTCGCAACATTGTAACAAAAGTGTGCATTTCTAGTCAAATTGAGTGATTTTGATCTAAACTGTGTAATTTAGCCAAAACAACCTCAAATAAGTTGTTCTTGGACTTAAAAAATGTTTACTAAATCTTGATTTTGACATCATATGTGTGCTGTGATCTTGATTCTCATCAATTTTTCTTAAACAATGTCACAATTTTACACCTTAATTCGGGAAAATTCTGTGTGCAAGAAATCGATTATAATCACTCAATGATCAAAGTTGTGGATCCTAATGTTAATCAAGGTAACGAACATATGTTGCTCGTTGATTAAACACATGCAAATGCAACTCGCTAATTTTGGGACCTTTTTTTTTTTTAATGAACTGTATGCAAATTCAATGTCTTGCTTCTCCCTGATTTTGGTTTCTGCTTTCTGGTATATTTTGCAGTTTTGGTCATGCATTACACTTATTTATCCTACACAACATTCGTATTAGGTAATTAGAACCTTTCTCTTCTGGAGCTATTGTTTTTCATTTATTCATGTTGCACCGTCTTGAATCATGAAGCATTAAAAATTCAAGTACATGTGATGAGATTATAAGAAAATACTATTAAGAACTCCAGGAGAAGCATGCAATATTTATCAGTTGCTTTATTTGATAACCAATTATATCAATATATATCATTTTTTTACTCACAGGTGTACTTCATAGGGTAGCATTTGCTTTTGCAATTCCAAGCTTCATCCAGTTTTTGTTATATAAATGGCAAAGAAGGTATTTATCTATGTATGATTCTATTGAAGAATTCTTGCATAAGTTGTGAAAATTTTGTAAATGCCTCGCGTTATGTGGAAGCTCCTGCCTGCATTAACGGCAGCTCTTTCTTCACACCTTATAGGCCTGAATCTGAAGGCAAAAGGTATTATTATGTGAAAATTGGAACAAATCCGCTTGAGTTAAAACCTTCATGCCGTATTGAGCTAGTGGCATTTATACCACTACTACCGGAGAAGATTTACGAGGACCCCTCCTACCTGGACATCCACCAGGGGTTGTCATATGGAATTGACTTAGATTGGCAGAGCGCTTCATGTGGAGGGAACGATTATTTTCAAATTACTGAGGAAAACCATTGTGTTATTGCTGCATATCATGGTATTTTAGAAACAAATTCTTTTGATTTGAGTTCCAATTGTGCATATGCCTTTTCATTTCTTGGTCGTTTCTTTCTTTAATTGCAAAATGTTTTGGCTAATTTTGTTTACTTCACGCAGTGAACCCAGTTTTAGAAGCTCTCAACACAGCTTTATCTCGGGTCAGTTATTATCAAGGTTTTTAAAACCAAACCGATCATTGAACCGTTTTCAAGTTTGGTTCTTGGTTCAATCGATTTAACCAGTGAACCAGTCGGTCCAAATAGCAAGGGAAATCCAATGAGAGGAGCAGGCTGCAGGCTGTAGGCGGGATTTTCTAATTTGGTGTCTGATAATTTTGTAATTTTGTTAAAATTAAAGGTTAAAATGGGTATAAGAAAGGAATGGGGAGGGTGAAATTGGAAAAAATGAAAGAAGATTGCATGAGAAATTGAACCGGTGGTTTTTTCGATTCCACCGGTTCCATCAGTTTCACCAGTTTTGACCGGTTTTGACATCAAATGGTTTTTTCATGTAAACCGAACCATTTTCATCATCAGGTATCAGTCCAACCAGTTCAACCGATCGGTCCGATTCGATTTTAAAAACCTTGGTTATTATCTACCTCGTAAGTAACTCCAATTCACATCTTGTTCAAATATATTAAACATATGAAGTAAGAATAAAATCTTTAGTAGTATATATGGAGGGTAGAGCCAACTCTACTCTCTTCCTTTCTCTTTCTTCTCTTCTTTTTCTCTCTAAAAATGAGTTTGAATTTGTGATAATTTTGTAAATACTTTGATTTTTACAGATATTTTGGAGGATAAAAGTTTTAAGTTGAATAATGACAATTGGTGTAATTTTTGTAAAATTTTTATCTATTTTGTAATTATATTTTACTTAATTTATATATTTTTTTAATTTGTATGGAAATTTTTTTTTATCTTTATTCTATAGTTGATGCTATTTTTGCAATACTTATTTTTTTACTTTATATGTTTGTATGAAAATTTTTTAATTTAATCTTAGAATTAATTATGCTTTAAATCAAATAGATTAAGTTTGGTAAAATAATTTTAGTTTTACATATTTTTATCAAAGAGTATTAAAAGATTTCTTAAACTTATTATAATATTCATAAACTAATTATGTATATCACTTTTTTTTTTTTT